ATATGAAAAATAAAAAAGTTCCGTTACAGCATTCCTAACACAGATACACATCCGCGTTCCCTTTCGTATTGAGCGCTTTTCAAATCAGATAAAAATTATAAGTGAAAACAACCTATTAGAATTTTGTAAACAATAAGTAACGAAGGAAATCCTAACAAGCCGTGGCGAAGACTTTAAAAACTACATGCTATCAATACCAAGTCATCTAAGCCGTTTAATGAAGACGCGCACTTAATCTTGTATGTACGCACGTGGCACGCAATCACAGAAGATAAACCAATCCCCGCACACTCTTGAATTACTTGATTAAATCACGTGGCAAGCAAAAACAATTGTATAACTCACGAAAACCAACTTAGGAAAAGTTACCAGTGCACAGCTGCGGAAGATCCAATTTTTAAACTCGGCACAAACCTTTTGTGGTAACATTTGCGCCATAATAAAATCTGTAAAATTTAGCTGTTGTTTTTTGATGGATGGTTTTGAAACGAAAAAGCTTCAAATTTGCTTCAGGATTTCGTTTTCGGGAAGACATTACGAATCAGCCGCAAGAAAGCTCACTGCGATTTGATTTCCGTGTACTGTCAAGCAGTTGGTAGTTATCTGTTGGTGGGTTTTAATTCTTCCTGTGAAAATCTGAATAGGGAACTCGTTGTTTTGAGTTGCATAGGTTGCATATTGCACTTGTTATGCAAAGTTGCTTTCGAAGTTGATTATGGTGTAGATTTTTTTGTTCTCTCCAGTTAATGGATGAAGAAGAGGTGCTAGGAGCTTTTCTGCTTCTTTATCTCTACTGTTTTTTTAGTATCTCGTTGACATCCTTAAATTTCTTGTTTGGCAGTTTCTGTTGAGCACGAAAGTTAATGGTTAAAATAATAGTATAGAACAAGTACATATTTTATAAGACAAAAGAATTTTTTTTTGCTTCATCTGTCATTTTTTGTTGCTTTAGGCGCCGCAAGAAATTGACATTCAATGATCTGTTTTGTACGCTTACATATTGGCTCATTAGCGTCATTTCTGCTTGCTTCTTTTCAATTGTCTTTTGTGTTTTGTCTCGTGCTTTGCTGTTGTTACTGCTACTGTTACTGCTGCTGCTACTGCTGTCGCTGTTGTGCTGTTCTTGTGTTTGCTAATGAGGCTAGAATGATCTTAGTTGTCCACTCGTTGTGTACGATGAGCAGTTCCGATGAAATTTCATGGGTTTCTTGGTTCTGTGGCTTGCGCGGTAACGAATTTTTTTGCGAGGTAAATTTTTTACATGGGTTATTCAACACATTTAATAACTCTTATCCAGTTTTTCATGTGATTTCTTCCACACAGGTATTTTCTCGCAACCTCTAAGCAAAAACTTTTATTTGACTTTATCTCCTTTACTCTATTTTTACTGTAAATCTCTACTTACGCTTATTTCTGCAAACTCCCCACTCCCCGCTCCCTTCCCAACCTTCAAGATTGTGTTTCCCGGCAGTCGAGCAACTATAGTTAATAGCCGTGAATTGCTGTTGAATTTCCATGAATGTATCTTACTTTCTCATTTGCATGACCAGCATCTTCACATGCATTTCTATTCACAACACTTTATGATGGCAAAAGTGCTAATCCTGTTTTATCTATTAAAACAATTCATTTCAAATAATTAACTCATACTTTACTGATGCTTTTCTATACAGGTGTCTTTTCATTATTAAAAAATTTTATGGAGTAAAAAATGTACATTTTTCTACCTATAAAAAATTCGTTTAAATTCTGAGATCCAGTTGCCGGTTCAAACTAAATAATGTGGCAGATCGCAGGGTATTTTTAAAAATTAGGTCTACCTATTTGTTCATCGCCGGTTTAAAGAAGGTTGAAATGTTTTTTCTCATTCACTTGAAAAGTTTTATGAAAATTTTTGAAACGCTCTTAGTTAGGCATGCCAACTCTCTCGAAATTGGAACTTTTGTCACTAACCCTACTTTTATTTCCTGTATATGAATTTTTTGACCGTGCTCAATTTATATTGAAAGCACCATCGCCTATTACAGATTCCATTTTGCGCGTTTATTTTTTAGCTTGCTGAGTGTCTGGAACTGAGCCCTAATTTCAGTTTTTATGTAGTTTCGCGACATAGCACCTGCAGTAATGTGGTGTTGTATTGGGGAAATTTTGTAAGCACCGCTTCAAAACATAGATGGTTCAAGTTTGTCTTCTTAGAGATTTTTAATTTTTATTTTCGTTGCCATCTGACCAACTTCTAACTACTTCAGAAATGCCCCACATGATCTCAGCCTTCTAACTGTTTACAGGAACGTAGAGTTTATTAAACCATTGCATGCTTTCAAAAAGAAATTGACAGAGGTTTTTTGGAATATATATATATATAT